GGGAGTTTTCCCTCCATTTCTATGTTTTTGAATAAGTTAAGTAGCATTGGATGTAAATCTTCTTTAAATGTCTGATAGAATTCTGCTGTAAAACCATCTGATCCTGGGCTTTTTTAGTCGGGATGTTTTGTATTACTGTTTCAATTTCTTTTTGTGTTATGGGTCTGGTTAAGCTGTTACTCTCTTCTTGGTTTAGTTTTGGTGGTTCCCCAGCCTTTAGATATCTGTCCAGTTCTTTTAGATTTTCAAATTTAGTAGCATATAGGTTTTTAAAGTATTCCCTTATAGTGTTCTGTATCTTTCTGGTGTCTGTTGTGATGTTTCCCCTTTCATCTCTGATTTCGTTGATTTGGATTTGCTCTTTCTTTCTTTTGCTTAACTGGGATAAGGGTCTATCCATCTTGTTTAACTTTTCAAAGAACCAGCTCTTGGATCCATTGATTCTTTGTATGCCCTGATTTTTGTATTTCTCTTTGTCTGCTGGGTTTGAGTTTCATTTGTTGTTGTTTTTCAAGTGTCTTGAGTTGCAATGTTAAGTCATTTATTTGTGTTCTTTCCAATTTTTTGATGTAGGCACTTAGAGCTATAAACTTCCCTCTAAGGACAGCTTTCAGCATGTCCCATAGGTTTTGTTGTGTTGTATTGTCCTTTTCATTTAGTTCCAGGAATACTTTTATTTCTTTCTTAATTTCTCTGTTGATCCATTCATCATTCAGGAGTGTTTTTTTTTTTAAATCTCCATGTGCTAATGTGGTGATTAGGGCTTCTTCGGGTGTTGGCTGTAAGCTTTATTGCATTGTGGTCTGATGGAATGTATGGAATTATTTCAATCTTTTTTTATTTCTTGAGGTTTGTTTTGTGCTCCAGTATATGGTCAGTTTTGGAGAAGGTTCCATGGGGTGCTGAGTAGAAAGTATGTCTTTTGGTGCTTGGGTGGAATGCTCGGTAGATATCTGATAAATCCATTTGATATATGGTATTGTTTAATTCAGATGTCTCTCTGTTAAATCTCTGCCCTGTTGACCTATCTAATGGAGACAGTGGGGTATTGAAGTCCCCTACTATTAATGAGTTGGGATTAATTTGGGTCTTAAAGTCTTGTAGTATTTTTTTTTATGAAGTTGGGTGCACCTGAGTTTGGTGAATATATGTTCATGATTGTAATATCTTCTTGATTTATTGTTCCTTTGATCAGAATGAAGTGGCCCTCTTTATCTCTTCTGATTAGTTTTAGATTAAAATCATCTTGTCAGATATTAGAGTTGCAATGCCTGCTTTTGTCTTAGTACCTTTTGCTTGGTATATATATTTTTCCAACCTTTCGCTTTGAGATAGTGTCTGTCCTTGAAAGTGAGATGGGTTTCTTGCAGACAACAAAAAAGATGGGTTTTGTTTCTTAACCCTTTCACCTAGTCTCCGTCTTTTGACTGGGGAGTTCGGTCCGTTAATATTTAAAATTATTAATTAAAGATGAGTATTAAATCCTTTCATTTTTATTTCTGTTTACATTCTTGATATAACTGTACCTTTCCACAGTAATAACAACTCCTTGGGTGTAATCATTCCTTTCTTCAGCTCTTTGTATTGCTTCCAGAACTCTCTGAAGGGCTGGTTTTGTGGACATGAATTCCTTCAGCCTATTTATGTCATGGAAGTTTTTTCTTTCCCCTTCGACTATAATAGACATTTTGCTGGATATAGTAACCTGGGTTGGCATCTGTGGTCATTTAAAACTGGGAATACTTTGGTCCAGGCTCTTCTGGCTTTCATAGTTTGCACTGAAAAGTCAGCTGTAATCGTAATGGGTTTTCCTTTATATGTGACTTGTTGTTTCTCTTTTGCATCTTTCAGTATTGTCTCTTTGTTTTGTATGTTTAGTGTTTTTATTATGATGTTCCATGGAGGGTTTCTTTTCTGGTCCTGTCTGTTTGGTGTTCTATATTTTTCTTGCATTTTCTGCACATGTCTTTCTCTAATTTTGGGAAATTTTCTTCCATGATTCTGTTGAAGATCTGGTCCATGCCGTTATCTTGGGATTCTTCTCCTTCTTGTAGGCCTATGATTCATATGTTTGGTCTTTTTATGGTGTCACACAATTCCTGCATATTCCATTCTTGTGATTTCTCAAATTTTTCATAATCTTTGCTTGAGTGGTCTAATTCGTCCACTTTATCTTCCAGCCTTAATACTCTGTTTTCCATTTCATCCTATTGGTGAGGCTTTCTCCTGTCATTTCTAATTGGTTTACTGAGTGTTTCACTTCCTTCTTCATTTCAGCCTGGGTAGTCTTCAATATTTCTAGCTCTTTCTGAATTCATTCAGAAGTTTATCCCTATATTCCTTCAGTTCGTTGACTTCTTTTTTTGTGTATTCTTTAAATTGACTGAATTCTTTTGTCATGTTTATAATTGTTCTTTTGAGTTCCATGTCCTGCATTATCTCTAGGGGATTCTCATTGTACTCCTCTAGAGGACTATTGGTATTTGGTGGGGATATGTTATTTTGGTTTTTCATGTTACTATTTTTTCTCTGTGATTTTGACATATGAATTTCTTTTGTAGTTTCTGATTCTGTGTGAGACTCAAGCCTTCAAGTTTAGGTCTGCTTCTTTTTGTAAACTTTATGTGTCTTTGTGGTTTACTTTTTGGGCATGAAAAACTGGTTCCTCTAAGCTTCCCATTCTCTCTTTTGATTTTATTTGGGAGTGCGCAGATTGCTTTTGTCTTCAGGAGTTCCCACAGAGGACCAATTCAGATGAGGATCAGATGCTCTCAGGCTTTCTCCTAAGGTCTGGATTCCTCCAGGAAAGATTTTGGCCTCAGGAATTTGGGGTTGGACTGTCCTGGGAGCAGGTCCAGGAAAGATGCTGGTCTAGCGGAGCTGGTGGCTGTGCCACCCAGAGATGCAAAGGGAGATGGGGCGGGAAGCAGCCTCATGGGCTCCTGGGTACTGCACTGAGGAACTGGGTTGGTCTGGATGCAAAGGATCAGGAAGAGGAAAGGTCAGTCATGGGCGTCCAGTATAGAAGCTGGGGGGTGTACAACCCAGGGAAGCAGAGGGAGGTGAGGGCGGGACCAGGCCCGGTGGGCTCCTGGGAGAGAGACTGGCAAGTTGTGCAGACCAGGGAAGTAGAGGGAGGTGAGGGGGGGCAAGGCCCACAGTGCTCCTGCGGATCCCAGAAAGAACTGCGTTGGCCTGGATGCAGAGGATCAGGAAGCAGTGGTGGGTCCCCCCATGCCTGGGGCATCAAGACAAAGAATGGGAGAGATGGGCAGGGGAGATGGGAGAGTGAAAGAGGCTGGGGGAGTCCAGGCGAGGGCGCGATCGTTTACCCCGGAGAGAGGCCTGCGGGTCATGCAGGCCCAGAAAAGCAGAGGGGTAAGAACCCATTAAAAAAAAAAGTTGTTATTTTTATTTTATGTGTATGTATGTATTGCCTGCATGTAGGTAAGTGCACCCCTGGGACTGGAGTTATGGACAGTTGTTAGCTGCCATGTGGGTGCTGGGATTCGAACCCCTGTCTTCTGCAAGAACAGCCAGTGTTCTTAACCGCTGAGCCATCTCTCCAGCCCCAAAACCAACAACCTTTTATCCCATTCCTGTAAGCCCTTAGATAAACACAAGTTGTGAGCCATCAGAATCTGAGAGACTGTTTGCTTCTGTTATTGCATGTCTCTGGAACACAGCACTTTTACTGTTCATGGGCTCTTTGTGTAGATATTTCCTTTCTTACCCTGATATGGATAGTCACTTTTTCTTTTGTCAGAATTTCTCCTTTTAGCAGTTCTCCTCTCCGGCCTCAGCACCTCGCACAATCTATCAGCAACGCTTTCCTTTTGTTGGACTGGAGACACGGCGGTGGATGCTCAGTGAGGGCCAGAGAGTCCGTATGTTTTTGCTGACTTTAGCTACAAACTCTTTCTTACATAGCAATTATGATAAAATATTTTAGGCTTATAAGAGCAACTGTGGATGATATAATTGACAGCCCCATAAATCTTCTATCTAGCTTAAGGAAAAAAAAAAAAAAACATAGGGAATACACTTGAAAGATCCCTGTGTGCCTCTCTGGTCCCTCTTGCATTATCTTCCAAGGGAACCACCAGCCTGAATCCTGCCTTTCTAGTTATGCTGCTGTACTTTGAGTGCATAGGTTATTTTTACATATTCTTTAAATAGACAGAATGCAACAATTCTGCTATATATTCTTTTCCTAAATTAAAAGGCTTTGTATTTTAGAGGAGTTTTAGGTTTATAGAAACACTGAGTAGAAAGACTCTCTTCTGAATTTAGCTCACAATTAGTTAATAACTTTTCATTGGCCTTTCCTGGATTTCTGTGAAGGCCAGGACCTTTACCTTGGTTAGTTTTACAGTTGACATTTGCTTTAGTTTCCTCCAAACATGAGTCACAGCTAGAACTCCCTGATACCTCCCTCACTGGGCATAGCTCTTGAGATAAAATGTTTATTGAATTAATAGAGATACAAATGAACTCATTTTGAATACCAATACCAACAGTGGAAAGTCTGTCTTCCTACAAATATTAGGCTGGACCATTAAAGGCCTTCCTGTTAGATAAAAGGAGGATAGTTTCAAGCAGGCTAGAGATAAGGTCTCCAGATTCTGTGACTTGTAAGGACAAGACTCAGGCACGGCCAGGAAGAATGTTCCCAAGGAGGCAATGTTTGCGAATAGACTTTCAGAAGTTGGGGCCTGCCTCTGTTTACCTGCTGAGAGAGCTTCGGATAATGAACCGTGAAAGCTTGCTATGCATCCGCACTATGCAATATTTTTTCATTTGCTACTCGTCAGCTTCAGGGATCAAGGACAGCTAAACACATAACTCACTCATGCATGTTATTTTAAAGGCATATTTTAAAGTTATAAATACTGTACATTGAGTTAATGAGGTATGTTCTTTTGGTAACACATATTTATATTCCACATATGCCTCTTGATGTCAAGAGTGTAACCGTTTCATTTTCTTCCTTTTCTCAGGAGGCTGGGATGCAGATGGAAGAGGCCCTTGTGTCTGGGACACATTCACCCATCAGGGAGGAGAGAGAGTTTTCAACAACCAGACTGGTGATGTAGCTTGTAGCAGCTACACTCTGTGGGGGGAAGATCTGAAATGTATCAAACAGCTTGGATTGACTCATTACCGCTTCTCTCTTTCCTGGTCACGTCTGTTACCTGATGGGACGACAGGTTTCATCAACCAGAAAGGCAAGTGTTTCTTAAAAATAGAAGGTTGCAGCTTTAATTCAAGGTTATTGCTGCAGTCTGGCATAATTAATCCGGCATGCTGTTCTGCAGGGTAGCTTTGAAATTGCAAGTTTTCAGAGTGATTATAAGATAAAATTTTTGCAATGAGTTTGCATTAGTTTTCTCAGTAATATTTTGGTTTTCTTGACTGTTAGGCTTCTCCTTGCAGGAAGGAGGGGTATGTGGGGAGAAGGGAAATTGGAAGAAGGATTTTTATTTATGCACTATGTTATCTGAGTGTTGTATCAAACTACTTTTCAGTTTTGTCACCCACTGAGGAGTTAGGAAGGCCCTGAAGATTTTGAAAGAGTTCTGAGAGTTTCAATGGCACTGGGTTCTGGATGCTGTCTCAGGGGTTAGACTCCAGGCTCTAGAGCTTACTGACTTGAGATGAAGTGTCAGCTACATCATATACTATGTGCAAAGCTCTCTTTGCGTCTGACAGCTTGGCATCTGTGAGTGCCTCAGTTTTCTCATGCTATAAAAATTCGTGCTTCAGAGAGTTATTGAAAGATTAAATGGAAGACTCTTTGCAAAGTGCTTAACACAGTACCTGGTGTATGCTAAACTTCATTTTCAGCCGTTATCTTTCTTGTGCCTTCGAATTAAAAGGAACATTAACTTCCCTATTACATTCTGATTATTAGGCATCTAAATTTTTAGTTTGTTTTTATTGAATTTTTGTGTATTTTATATAGAATATCTCAAATAATCTTAATCATCTTTGTACCCCCATCCCCGCTGGCACCCTCCCATAGCTCCCCCCCACTGGAACCCATATACTCTGTCATTCATGATAAGGCCCACTGTGTCAAGCCTGTGTCCCTAGACGTTCCCCAGTCCAAGTCCATCCACTGAGGTCTAGTCAGCCTATCTAGAGTCTCTTGTTTTAGAAAGATCATTTCCTCCTCACCTAGCAGCAATCAGCTGCCAATGCTTTTTAAGCTAAGATTTGGGCCTACTGTTCGTTTTCCCAGTTCTCTGCAGGGTTTTTGTCTGTCTGAGTTTACATGCGACTTGTGTATGCTGACACTATTAGGCATCTAAAATTTTACTTATTAATTGTATTTTACGTGTATGATGGTTGTACCTATATGTATATAAGTGCACTCCTGTCATGTAATGCCTAAAAAAGTCAGGAGAGGGCTTTGGAACCCCTGGAACTGGCATTATAGATGGTTGTTAGCTGCCATGTGGGTGCTAGAAACTGAACCCAGGTCCTCTATAAGAGCAGCCAGTGCTCTTAATCCCTGAGCCATTTCTCCAGCCCCTTATTAGGCATTTTGCATATATTTTCTCTAATCCTCACTATCAATAAGGAAGATATAATTATCATATTTTATGACCAAGTCCACATATTAGATCTCAAATCTAAACTTAAGATCTAACTAGCCCCTTATACAAACAGGGTTGAAAAACTAACCTGAGGGCCAAATATGGCTTGCCACCTGTTTTTGAAATAAAGTTTTATTGGAACACAATCATGAGAATTGATTGTACATCATCTATAGGTGCTTTCGTTCTGCAAGGGCAGAAGTGAGCATTTGGGGCAGAGACCATATGGCCTACGAAGTCCTAAATATTTATTATCTGGTTCTTTTGCCAACCCCTCCATTACAGCATATGGCTTCTAAATACACATTCTTTATTATTACTTTGTCCTGGAAAAAGATTATGTACAATGCATAGAGCAGGGAAGCAAATGACGTTCACTGTGTGTGATACTTAATGGGAGTCTCCGAAATGCATGATGAATAATTGTGTGACATGAGAGTGGGGCCCTACCAGCCTCAACAAATTTTCTACAATGTCTTTGATGGTAAAGAGTTCCATGTCAATAGGCTACTTGATTCCCCACACAAAACAAGTGACAGTGCCTCAGTGGGCTTGTGAGCTTGTGTACGCCTCTCACACAAGGCTGGGTCATTTCCTCATTGTGAAGCACATCTACAACCAGGCTTACATGAACCCCAGACTTTTGGAATCACCTCTTCTAAACAGGAACAACCCCAGGTAAGCAGGCCTGGTGCTTGATTCCAGAGACATTAACCCAAATGATGGTTATTGGCTCAATAAGCTGAATATGTAGTTACTGTACATCATTGATTGTTTTTGTTTTTGACTGAACAGGAGGTGACAGCCGTTCCATTTAAAAGTGAGTTCATAATTCTCATTTTGCTTCATCCAGTACCTGCACCTTCCCTTCTCTTTGGTACCATGATACCTAAAGGTCTAGACACTGAATCTGAACCGTTTCATGCCTTTGCTTCCTACGTTTCACTGTTTGCCAATTGCAGTCCACTCTCCTGTTGCCGTGCCTCCTAGCCTTCTTCCCTAACCATCCCCGTGTCCTTGCCCTGGTGCGGCAGCTTCTCATTCTCACCAAGGGCTTTTTGACACACACTGATGGCCTTCAGTCCTTCCTATAAATACTACCACAGCAATTTTCCTAAAGCTTGGCCTAACTCGTAGTAATCTGAGTTATTCCCTGCTAAACAAAGAGATATTAAAAAAAATTTAGCTCTTTCAAGCTTCAATATGCAGCTTGTGCTCCTTCCTAAAGAATTCCAGGTTCTGCTTGTCTTAGTCTTAACTCACTTCTGAAGTTTTGTAAGATGCCATTTCCCTTTTTGGATAACCCATGTGATTCCTCCAGGCACTCTCCTGAGCACATAATCCACTTCTTATTAAACGCACTATGTACTTTTCAACTTTTGGAGGAATTTTCTGACACTCTTCATCATCCTTAGTACCAGCTACACCTGCCAAAACCTCTAGCATAAATGTTTCCTCTTCTTTAAGGTCTTCATCTGTCCTAGGTCCCCCAAATGTATATACCTAGGACTTCTAAAAAATATATACACCTATGGACTTCTTTAAAGTCTTCATTTGTCCCAGACCTCCCCAAATATCCAAATATACATACATTTATATATACATATATAACTATATCTCTATCATCTATCTGTTGATCTATCTATCCATCCATCATCTATCTATCCATCCAGCTATCCATCTATCTTCATCTATCTATCTATCTATCTATCTATCTATCATCTATCTAATGTATCTATCTATGTATCTATCTATCTGTCTATCTATCTATCTATCTATCTATCTATCTATCTATCTATCTATCTGTCTATCTATCTATCTACCATCTCTCTATCATCTATATCAACCGTCATCCATTTATGTATCATGTAGGCATCTGACCTCGATCTAACTTTCTATTTATCACCTCTATGACCTATGTTCTATACATCCATCCATTCATCCATCCATCCATTTTTCTATGTATCTATAAATGTACCTAATCATCTTTCACTCTGTCTCCATTTCTGGTGTCTGGCGATGAAATTCAGCCCTGTGATATGCTAGGAAAGTACACTGTTACAGAGCCACACCACAACTCAATCTGCGGGTTTAATGGCGTTTAGGGGACAGCTGGTAACCAAAGTCTTGAACTGCAGGAGCAGAACGTGGTACCCGGCAGGCGTACTGACTAGGAAACCCTGATGGAAAACGAGCAGAAGAAGTGATATGCAGTCTTTGAGACTGGGACACAGCAGCTGTGGTACGAGCCTCACTTTCTGTGCCCCCTGTCCCAGGGAAGAAGGTCCCTCAAAGCACAAAGAGGACTGGACA